TACGACTACTTCAGCAGCGATTCTGAGGGTGATGGTAGCCCTGTGAAAACGAGGCGCCATCGTAGGAGGGACTATTAGAGTCTAGAGGAGGACCGTTGGTAAGCGTAGACATCCCTACGAGTGTATTATTATATTTCTTTTACCTTCCGAGCTACTTGCGTTCCATCTGTGTTTGGTTTTGACTGCGATTTTGGTTCATGTATGGATATGAGACGACGCTTACGATTTACGATACTGATGAAGGATACGACAAAGATCAGGGATGTGGTCAGGGACGATGAGCTTTCGTTTGTTTACATCGCGAGTCATACGCGTCAACCTTGGTAGCTTGTTTGTTTACATCAACCAGTCGTTACTTCGATGGACAGATGTAGAGATGTGAATGTGATGCTTTGAAATGCTGCCTGTACCCCCTAATGCCAACCTCCGATCTAAATTTTGTAAACCAAAAACGCCCTCAAATGCTCAATGTGCTCTCAAATCATGGTATCATGCCAAAATGCTTGTCCCAAACGATTCCTCCAATTCACCCAACCTTCATAAACACCAGTTCCTCAACACGGAAACGGAATCAAGTTAACGACTCCCGCTTCGGCAACCTCACTCCCCACACCAACCTCCTGCAACGCAGCTTTGAACCTAATCTCCGTCCTAGCCGCCAATACCTGTCCGGCCAATTCGACCAAGCTCTGTCCGCACAGCCTTTCCCTTCCCACCACGAAATCAAAGTAGCTCTCCGGAAAATCAAAGTGCAAAGTTATGTCCCTGACGAGCAAATCCTTCATCGCCTTCTTGAACAGCGTGTTACTATCCGCCATGTAGAACCCCGTAAGCAATTTCTGAACTTGCAATCTCTCGGTATCGGCCTTGAACTTGTCGCTGAGGGTATGAGCGTCCTGGCCTGTGGTACTTCCAACGTAGCGGCGCGTGTCTGCGCAGATTTTCAAGCTGAGCAGACTGGGCGAGACGGTGCTGAGGAGGTAGGATAAGCTGGTGGTGTAGCGGTCTGCGCCAGTGCAAACGGGTTTCCAGATTCCGTCGCGCGAGTCTAGGGATGTGGTCATAGAGGTGGGGTAGTAGAGGAGGTCGACTTCGAGATGGCGGACTAGGGGGAGGTCGGTGAGTTGGAGAGGGGGTTCAAAGGCGCCGGATCCTTCTTCTTCTTGTTGTTGGTCGTCGATGGCATCTTTGCTGGAGGGAGTTGGTGGTATGGATGTGATGTAGAAGGTGTTTTTGCCGAAGAATACGGAGCGGGCTTCGTGGTGTATTTGTTTGTTTGTTCGGAGGATGGCTGTGTGGAGGTCGTATTTTGTGTCTTGACGGGCGACGGAGCCTTTGATGGATGATGGGGCGACGAGAAGGTGTGTGTAGATGTGTAGACGGAGCTCTGGAGGAAGGATATCCAGGAACGGTGAGCGTGTTGTTTTCGCCATGATGGTTGAAGTCTTCAAGGAATTGACTTTATCCGTCAACTTTTAGTACCTCGACTCGACTGATTAGTTGGCGACAGGAAAGATATGGGCCGATATGTCGTATCGAGAAATGAGGCTCAGATCCTTAGCAAGGCCAGCCCTATGGATCAAGAGAGAGTCGGAATAGTAGAGTGAGCAGCTTTCCACAACATCAACATCAGCCACAGCAGCGCACACCCCCGGTCTTTATTCTCGAAGACGGCATCAAGTGACCCATTCCGTAATCGTCATCCTGTTGCAAGCCCATGAATTCATTACACTTGACTCGCTCCACCTAGCTATCTAGGAAGCCGTGTAGCCAGGAACCCCTTCACTGGCAACGGCCTTAGGAGACCCTTAGCAAGAAAAACGTCCATGCGCTCACGATGCAGACTTCCAAATACTCCTAGCTCTGCCGTCCAAAGACGCGATTGACGTGCAGATCATCGATGTTCGCAAGGATCATGTGGAAGGACTGAGGCGTTCGGCTGCAGACATCCTTGCGCCCAATGTACCGGTGTAGAAGGTGATGAAACTATGGTAGGTGCTCAAGGCGGTTCGGCAAGGCTCCGGAGGGCATGTCGAGCGGCTGGCTAGCAGGCACGAAGCAGACGCCCCGATATGTCAGGGAGAAAGTCCGGTAGCGCGGCCATGGTGTGTTTCTAGAAACATTGAAAAGAAGGTTTATTCGATTGAGAACAGACATCCAAGAAGCGTAGTCTCGCATGTCGGCTGCGCTAGGTTCCAAGTCTTGTTCTAGAGTGTTTCCACGGGCGAGCGCGGAAGAGTTAGTCCGCGCCTGTCTGATACAAGTCTCAAGAAGAGCGTTGGTGATGCCCCAAACGGCCCACACGGCGAATATGCGGCATCGTGTGCAAGTGGAGAGTTGATGTCAAAGTTGATCCCTTGCTTTTTTTCCCGCTTGATTGCCGAATCGGCATGTTCCTTTGTCCTGGGTAACCAAGCCGGGCTATCTTAACTCCAGTCGGGCAGACTTGCACTCGTTTCCTGCTGTTCCGAACAACTCAGTACCTGTCGGCCGAAGACTCCGGCACACACCCCGTAAAACAGCGCCGTTTTGCTGTCCTTTGTTCGACGCACGCCCGAGGTCCACCCTCGTTGACCTTCCAAACAGCCTCAAGACCTGAAGCACAGCCCGCTGTATCGACTAACTAGCGAAATTCCGCTGTAGTAGATACTCTAGCTGCAGCACTAGATATTCACATGCGATTCGACGGCGCGGCGTGCATCTACCATGCCGCGCAAGGCTCAAACGCTCGGCATCACAACAAAGCCACAGCAGGTAAGATACAAGAAACAGAAGCGGGAACGCACATGGCACGCTAGCAAGATCAGCACTAGAGGGTCGGGAAGAACAGTTCCACGCGAATGATAAACGAGGGAGACGCTCAAGTCGGCTCCACACTCGTCTCTAGTTCCATTGAACCGGAAAGGGCGTTGTGCCTCACTCATGCAATGTCATGCACCGACGAGCCATCGCCTGACCTGACTTTGGGCCTGAATGTGGTATCCTCTTTACCGCTACTCATCGCACACCTGGCGCGCTTGACGAACAAAGACGATCCCAAGCTACGAGCCGTGTCGAAACAAACCATCCAGTATACGAGCGAACCATGGAAACAAATCTGACATGCGGCAAGCCACCGAAGAGACTTCCCCGTGTCATGGCATTGGCATTGGCATGGGCGTATCGTTGGGTCTCTCCGAACGACAATCGGACCCTGAACGTCCATCATCCCACCTATCTTGCATGCGCATCGTCGATATACCCCTCCGTCCGGCTTCTGTCTCCGCTCCGCTCCCATCGCACCCCCCGACCCTCCTTCATATGACGACGTACCAAGACCGCCCGGGCAGCAACGTCGACGCTTCCTGCCAGCAAACCGCCCCAAAAGCCCAATGGGAAGGGCAACAAAAAAAGACGCTTTGAACCAAGCAATAGATAGCGGTGTGTAACCGGATCCAACTCCGCAGGCACCTCCTCAATCAACCTGCATAGCCCACATCATCTCTCGTGACGAGGCGGGGAGGGGCGCTTACCATCACAAACGGTCCGATCGCAGGTCCCGCTCTCCAAGCAGAAAGGAAAAGCGAGAAAAACCGCCTTTGGATGCATTTGTCGTGCATGTAACTTCGCAATCTAAATCCATCAACTTGGCCGAGAGGGTCGACAGGAGCAAGCAATCTATCTTGGATTTTTTCCTGCCCTCTCGCGCTACATCCGGAAGGCGTACCGAAACGACGTGATTCGCTGCCCTCTTTTTAATTTCTCCTCTTTGTTTTCTTTTTTTCGCTTCCCTTATCACGAGAAGAAGCGAGGCTAGCACATGTCCATCACCATCACAACATGAGCATGGGCGGTCGTCAGAAATGCCAATGTAGGTAAGCACGTGTACTTTGGCGGACGCAGGGTAAACGCTTCTACCACGTCCATGTAAGATTTTGGAAGGAAGGTGAAATTCTCAACATGGGTCATGCTGGTTGTGTCGTGTTTCTGCAAGTTGCCGGTGAGACCATTGGTGCGGGAGAGGGAGGACAGAGCGTCGGTGTTGCAAAGTTTGGCACCCTGGACGCAATGAGGTCAGAATCGTAAGATGTTTACCATAAGACGGGCGGACGTCGGTGCTTGGGGGATGGGCGTACGGCGTATACTCATTACGCGGTTTCGTTACTGTAGCCCAGGTTCGCAAGATGATCCTGTGGATGGGGGTGACAGCACGTCAAACCTGGATTTGCTCGGGCTTGGGTCGCAATTAAGCTTTTGGGTCAGCGGCGTGCACCTGGAATTGGCCGGTCCGGATGTTGTTCCTGGGCTCTGGGAGTCGGTATCGCACACGGTATGACGGCCTTGTGCTTCACACATGCAGTCTGGGGAGCGCTTGGCTTGGGGGTCGGACAATAGCGTACGTCTCTCAAATTACCTCTTTCGGTAGCCTTGTGCTCTACTCTTGTCTATCTTGTGGTCAGGCCCGATTAGTATCCCGCAGAATATTCCGATTATGTCCACCAGTAGGAGGCTGTGCGCATAAAGGCCTCAGTTTGGAGTGTACGGAGTGTTCTCCTAGACATTATACGGATACATGGTGTGCTATGACGCGATGGAGCTAGTGAGGCGCGTTATCAAGATCGAGCATTGTCGCACCCTCTCGAGATCGATGGATAGCAAGGAAAGCAGCCAACATCGCGTGTAACACATCTTGTCACGCATACACCTAGGTCAAGAAGTGGAAACATCTTGTGTATTCTATATACAAGTTGACTGCAACTAGAACCTAGGAAAATGTAGTATGCACGTACTTCGCTGTACAAGTTCCTCACAGACTATCCTTGCAACCTAGATGTGAAACGAACTGTATTCACACAGATGGCGTGTAGCTTGTCACGATAACCGACTGCTTCAATGCACATGACTCGATGTTTCAGAGGTTGCTTCTGCCCAAGTAAATTAAGGCGGCGCAGCTTCCGAGGATACATGAGATCAATTCGCGCAGTGACGATTGCCTCCTCTTCAGACAGAATCTCAGAAGCTCATTCGCTGTCGCTGGGAATATAGATGACTTCGTCATCGTCGCCTGGAATACTAGGCTCGCGACGTCGTCTGGTGGACCTGCTGGCGGAAGCGGTGCTTCTGTTGGCAAAGTTGTTCATGCCACTCAGTACACCATCAAGGAGATTCATAGACGGGAAGCTATTCTCATTCCTGCGGCGCGATTGCATCGAATCGGACCCATGCTTGCGCGTAGAGGGCGATGAAGTGCGTGACTCGGTAGCTCTCGCCACCCTAGGGCTGGCGGTTCGAGAAGGCCTGAAAGGTATGTTGGCGCTTCCGGTGAAGCTATCGAGACGTCGCTGTTGAGGAACGCTCTCACCGCTGGGTCTCAGAATGGTATCCAGGTCAGAGAGATCATCTTCAGCTCCGATAAGGCCCTTTTCAAAGGCTTCTAGAGTCTGTGCAATTACCTGGTACATTGCCTGTGCCATAATTGGCGGGAATGCATTTCCAATTTGCTTCTTGGCCTCGCCCTGGGCACCGGTGAATTGATACACGTATGGGAAGCTCTGGCACAAAGAGAGTTCACGAGGTGTAAAGTGTCGTTTGCCAGAGGGGTGGCAAGCTGTTGTACCGCCGGTGGTAATGCAGCCTTGGAGGAATGTTCGCGGGTTATAGGCTGGTCTGGGGATGGGAAACCACTTCGGTTGATGGTAAGGGTCGTTCATAGCTCGCCTGCCTTGGCGGGTAATGTGCGTGAGGGCATCGTCGATGTACACGAAAGGCTTTAGACCAGTTCCTGAAGCGCCATGCGTGGGCTTTGGGAAGGGAGGTAAAGGTGTACCCCGTCTGAGACATGTTAGTATGTCTATCATTGGCGCGTGGATCGCAAACCACGAACCTTGCAGCAATGATCAGCAAACGCTTGCGCTTCTGTACGAGACCGAATTGACTTAGGTCCTGAATCTTGTAGCGCACATCGTAGCCGGCTTTGCCAATATCATACAAGAGCATAAGGAAGTTCCTCTTGTGTTGCTCGTGAGTTGCGAGGCCGAAGGTTTGCTCAAGTGTTGCGACACGCGGTTTGACCTTGTTTAGAATCGGACCAACGGTGTAGATGGCTTCATAGTTCTCCTGATCTTTGGGTCCATCGTGAGTACTGACAGGTGTTAGTAGATGATCTTATCATGAAAGTGCTCTCTTACTGTGCCGGACTCCAATAACAACAAGGGGGCGAGAGGTGTAGTACGTCGACTTTCCAGCTCTCTTTGCTGATACCCTTCGGCGGGAAATCGTGCGCATTCATCTTCCATGCGTATGCACCAGGATGATTCAGGCGGTATGCAGCAAACGCGCGTTCATCATTGTCAAGACCCCACTGAACATGGTACCCGGCTTGGGCAGCGCCTTGACTTGCACCTCCAGCTCCGCAGAATACGTCTCCGAACACTAGACGGCCCTGCTTCGATGGATGCTGAGTCTTTCGCTTTGATGGCTCTTGTTCCAAGATCTCGAAGTCAGGAGAGTCGTCGCGTGCACGCCGCTTCTTTGCAGAAGGCGCCTGGTTCACGACAACGTATCCGTCCTCTTCAGTTTCCTCTACCGATATCGAAGTCTGGCGAGAATTACCGGGATCTGAAGTTTGAGCTGGTGTCCCAGTCGCATCCGCCTCGTGGGTATATAGATGACGAACGACGCCTCCATATGGCTTTGTCCTTGTGCCACTTATGTAGAGAATGTTGACGACACGGCAAGTGAGCCTACCTCCATGGAAGATCTGTCGCTTGACTTCGTCTTTACTCATACTATTCGGCCATGCAGCACAACCTTCGGATCGGAAGCTGAGTAACGGGTAGGGTTTGTTGGTCAGCGTACAGTCGCGTACTCGTAAGACATCTTCGATTTCGATGTCTTCCATTCCAGCGACAAAAGGTGATGTCGGGTCATCTTCATCAAGACGTAGGACCATGCCCAACTCGTTCGTCTTCCCTTAAGAGGAGTCAGTACACATCTTCAAGCTTGCCTTTTTGGTCGTACTCACAATCGAAGATCTGACCAAGGTATTTTGTACGCCGCATGCGCCAACCTCGGAGTCGCACATCATCCGTCTCCATGTTCATGATTATGCTCTTGATGCGTAGAAAGTCTCCCGAATGCATAGCGCCCTTATCTTGATTCGAGTGATCTTTCAATTCCACTGTGTCGCCCGGTTTGATGACGAAACCTGTGCTGATTTTGTATCTCTGGATCGCAACATCCGGTAGAGAAATGTCGTTGTTGGACCGAGCCTTGTGCGCGCGGCTCTTTCCGTCATTCGCGGTTGGCTTGGATGGTGTAGCAGAGGCCTCACGAGAATTACCCGCGATGATCTCATGATCGGACTCGGAATCTGGAATTTCAATGTCAGTCAGTGAAGTCAGTTGAATGAGGAAGGAGCGGATCACCATAGTCGAGAAGCTCAATATCACTGTCATCGTCGTTCCACTTCTCGTCGTCTTCGTTGAGTACCATGTAGGGTCGCGTTGATGACATGTTGACTGCTGTTGCTGCTTAGTGTTAGCGACACAACCATGAAAGTTAGAGTGGAAGGCGCGACGATCCACGCGGCCTACCTGGCAGTTGCCTTTTGCACAAAGTCGTGACTAGGTAGTTGCTGTAATGCGCGCGCTAGCAACGATAGCTATAGATTTATCGCGACTTGCGAGTTGCGAAGTGCAACTAACAGGCAGACACGATGTTGCTGTAGCCGGTGTTTAAAGCTGCCTGCGTGGTGTTTAGCAGTCGAAACTGCGAGAGACACTGTGTTGTTATTCTAGCAAAGAGGCCAAAGCGCCAAGGCATCAACGGTGAAGGTGAGTCTGCTAGACGCCAGAAGGGGAAGGAAGGTGAGCTGTAGCCCAGTTTTGTTGCAGATGGCGTAGGCAGCCTAGAGAACTCATGCGTTCTGACGCGCGGTGAGGGCGACTTGTGATAATGAAAATTGCGATGCAAAGGTGATGCTCGTCCACTGGTGGCCAAAGCCATGGACAAACATACGTAAAACGTGAGATCAATCTCTCAAAATGTGCAAGGAATAGAAGATAGTTGTGGTGACTGAAAGAACCGACAGTTGAAAGAGACGTAACCCACAGTCATAAAAACATCGCAGTAAAGGTACCCCGCGCGATTCCACATGGGTAGTGTAGTAGCGGTGTATTCAGCAAGATGCAAGTAATAAGTAACGTAGGGATTTGGAGATAAGAAATGCCCTCAAGGATGCTATCCCACCTAACCCAACTATACAAAGGCGCCTATACCAAACCTCACCGTCACAATCTCGCATCGTGTCTCATCGGATGGTCTTTTGTACAAACTCCTTCTCCAGGCGTCCGACCTCCTGCTTGAAGGTCTCGACTTCTTTCCAGCAATCCAGCGGTCGGCGGTCGTGTGTCCGCAGACATGAGACGACAGCCTCCTTGGCCTTGGTGACATCGGCATCGGCCTGCTCCAACTTCTTCCGCTGCTCGAGCTTCGCCTTGAGCTGCTCGATCTCCTTGGTGACACTGTCCCTGCTCATGTCCTTTTGTCTTTGCTTCTCGGCGAGGGTGGAGCTGCTGGATGTCGCATCCTGGATCTTCTCGACTAGGGAGGGTTCATCGGACTGTGGGGTCTCGCTGGAGAGGGTTTCGCTGAACTTGGAGAAGTTCTGGGTTTCTTGTTCGCGCAGCTTCTCGAGCTCGGCGGTTAGACGTTCCTGGTACTGGAGTTCTTGCTGTCTTGATCGCGCCGAGTCTGTCTGCAAGTGAGTTAGCCCCAATTCGCCCATTTCAGCCATTGCACGTACGAAAGTGTTCTTCTGCAGCGATCCGACGAGTTCATTGGAGAAGCTGTAGGGGTGATCTCTGCGCGCAAATTATCAGCACACGACGTCACTGGCTGATTCATCTCTTATGAGGGGCCGGGGCCATTGAATGCGGAAGATGCGACGTACGAGGAGAAGACGTGCTGCTTGACCTCTGACGAGGGTTTTGAGTTCTCGGCGCCCATGATTGCGGTGGTGGCTCCTGGGGATTTCTAGGGCGATGATGCTGTTCCTGCAAGAAGTCGGAGCTGACGGCTTGGCCGACGAAAGCACGCTAGGAAACATCCCTGCAAACGATCCGAGGGCGCGTCAGGGAAACACCAGAAGTCTCCCCTCATGTTTGTGTTTGTGGGTTGCGCTTCCATTACTTGACAATTCACAGCTTATCGCGAGGATACAACGTTAGCAAATCGCTGTTGTCCACGTGACCATACATTGGCTATTATTACCCAAATCACGACCCACGACGACATCATCATCACAGCCAACCCAGCCGCTCTTTGCCCGCGATGCAGTCCTCCTTGAACAACTGGCTCAAGAAGCCAAGCCTCGATAAACAACCCGCGCCGCCCTCAAACGCTCCTCCAATGGCATCATCAAAGACCAACCGGCCACCGCCTCCCCCAAAGTCTGTCTCTGCGCCGACGCGCGTTCCCTCTAACCCGACCCCTACGCCTTCGAACATGGAGAACTGGAACGACATACCCGACGACTTCCTCCAAGCACCTTCAAGACCGCGATCAAAGAAGAGTCCTCGTCCCTCTCGAACAGTCACGCCTGCTATCTCGCGCATACCTTCACCCATCTCCCTCTCTACCCAACAGCCAGCCATCCCGAAGCTCTTCGACCTACGCCCTCTACCGCCCAACGTCCAGCTTGTACCCCTGACCGAAGACTTGCTACCGGCATTCAAGCGCCTGAATACCCTCACTCTACCCATATCCTACCCAGAGACCTTTTACAAGGAAACAATGACCGAGCCACACCACGGCATTACCCTCGTAGCAGTATGGCACTCGTCGCCCGCGAATGCCACCTCAGCATCACCCACAGAGAAACCACATCTCGTTGGTGCCGTCCGATGTCGCATACTTCCTTCCTCGAACCTATACATCTCCACTATTGGCGTCCTAGCTCCCTACCGCTCCCACGGCATCGCTATGCATCTTCTACAGACGATAGTGAAGAAAGCCGTCGAGCTTCACAGTGTACGCTGTGTCACAGCACATGTGTGGGAGGCCAATGAAGAAGGCATGGAATGGTACAAGAAGCGGAACTTTGAGATACTCGAGAGAGAAGAGGGATACTACAGGAAGCTGAGGCCACAGGGCGCCTTCCTTATGAGGAAGTGGATTGGTGTTGGAGACCTCCTGGGAAACGGCACTCAGCAAGAGAATGGAGCAGGCGGTGAATGATCAGGTATTACCCTCCAGGCCTGGACAGTAACTACCGTTCATTTTACCCATGTGGCTCCTCGCGCACTACTGCCATTACTCGCCTAAAGCTTTCTCGAGCAGTGTCAACCCCATGATCTGGCTCGGCATGCAAAGCGCCCACTCTTCCGCATCCTAATCATCCGCCCCCGGGTTACGATACAATCCTGCGATCGTCTCGAGCGTCGCGCGGGTTTCCCGTCAAGTGTTCCGGCTACCAGTCTCACTGCTTGTATCGAACAATCTATCCTTTCGCCATCTGGGAAAAGGAAACGAATCACGATCGCCCTCGAGTGGATGTGAGTCTGGTGTTCGGACATGGGTCAACTGGGTATCAATTTGCGGCTAAAACACATCCCAGTCTATAAGCGTGGCCATGGATAAGAATAGCATCAAGAATAGTCGCGAAGCATCTCGGAACGCAGGCGAGCTGCGATTTGCCTTTAGGCAAGGAATTTTGGTCAAAGCCTTGTAGTTGTGTATCGTGGGTAACCCGTCTAAGCATCACTCTGCAATACTCTGCAACAAACGCGGATACATCCATCGATTGTAGCGCAGTCTATCTCCTCAAGGCTTCCAAATGCAACTTTTGAGTGCTTTGTCGTGTTTGGCTGACTGGACGAGATCTCGCCATGCTTGACATTGCCCGTACCGTCACAATGGCACACAAACTCGCTAGCCACAATATAGGCGAATGCAAGAGCAGATTGGGATGGCCTCGTATCTGGGCTTGGCCCCGGCCAGACTGCATGTCTACAATGGAGCCGCGGGTGTTCAGAAGAGGAGCCACGAAGCTATCATTGAGCCTGTCATCGACTTCCTAGACTTGAACCGACTAGTAACATAAGCTCGTGGCTATAAGATGCTGTCGATGTCCCATGAATTCAGACTCCTCACCTGGGGCAGCATCTTCAGTCAAGAATATATCATTACCTGACTATCAAATCACCATGCAGCTCACCACGCTTGCGCTTTTGACAAGCCTCTCGGCAGTATGCTTTGCGGTAAGCACGTCGATACTTGCAATGGTAGCTCATACTGACTTGAAGTAGGCGCCAGCAAACAACCATGTCGACATCGTGCCACGCCAGACGTACATCATTACATGCATTGGAGGCCGTTGCACCGACAACATCAGTCGGCCTACATCAGGTGTGCCACAGCCAACGACAAGCAAAGTCACAACGACAACAACCAAGAAACCTGAGCCGACCACGTCAAGCAAGAAGCCAGAGCCGACACCTACAACCACTTCAAAGAAGCCCGAACCACCCAAGTCAAGTACGAAGCCAGCACCAACGTCGACCACTACGACCAAGAAGCCTGAGCCACCCACAACCAGCAAGAAGCCAGAGCCTACCCCGACCAAGGTCAGTCATTATAGTCATTCATCGTGAATCCATACTAACCTTTTTAGACTACTATTAAGACGACTACAAAGTCTACCGAGAAGCCCACACAGACCACGGGTGAAGAGACTGGCCCAAGCAGCACGAGATGCCCTGTGCCTGCTTACTACAAGTGCGGAGGATGGGATTACACTAAGCCTTGGGACGGCTGCACGGTTTGCGAAAAGGGCTCAACATGCGTGGAACAGAACGGTATGTTGACACCAATGCGTCGTTTTTTTGCTACGAAACTGATGTTTGCTAGAATGGTACTTCCAGTGTGTGCCAAACGACGCCATTGTAGCGGAGTAATCATATGGGTTGGCTTTCACACTTGTCTGAATGGAGAGTACCGCAAATGTCGTCGCATCTACATCTGCCCAGGCATCTTCAGGAAGGAGATCAGTTTTGTCTCTATACCAAATGTCAGCCAAGATACCTCACCCTCGTCTCTGACATTCGCGCCACTTGCCCTGTCCTTTTGCAGAAGTGAATGTGCTCACCATATACTCGAACCCATCTTCCATTCAAGTTTCCCAACAAGGAGATGACCAAGGCTTACTGTGCGCGTCGAAGCATGACAAGGCGCGTGTAGCGGATATGGTGGGGTAGCTCCAACACGTCTCTGGCACGCCCCACCATGCTAAATAATTCCCCATACCAACGTCATACCTACGGACTGAGCTCCGGTAGCTGCCGTGATGGTTGCATACTCCATTTCACGCTTGCCTTGGACTTTACCTTCGTAACGTTCCCTGCGACCTCGTCTTCTGCACGCGCTTTCCTGCCGAACTTTTCAATTGACCCGTTCCCTGCGCGTCGCGTCTCGCCACTACGATCTTCCTCTACCAGCAGCCACAACAGCAGGTCTCCAAATAGACACAATGCCCGACCCACGAGTCTTCATAATCCGCCACGGCGAAACAGAATGGTCGCTAAACGGACGTCACACAGGAGTCTCAGACATACCACTCACCGAAAACGGCGAGAAGCGTGTAAAAGCCACTGGTAAAGCGCTCGTCGGCGACGACAGATTAATCGTACCAAGCAACCTAGCACACATGTACGTCCAAACCCCCTTCTTCAAACCCCCCAGAAACAACCCAAGAAACCCCAAAACTCTCAGCCACTAAGCCCGCACACACAGCTACGTCTCCCCCCGCACGCGCTCCCAACGCACCCTCGAACTCCTAAACCTCGGCTGCAAAGAACGCTACCCCTGGCACGACGCCTCAAAACCGCACACGCCGGACATCCGCACACACGCCACAATCGAAGTAACAGAAGCAGTCCGAGAATGGGACTACGGCGACTACGAAGGCCGCGTGACCTCTGAAATAAAAGCCGATCGTGAGAAACGCGGATTGGGGTCTGACTGGGACATATGGAAAGATGGGTGCGAAGGCGGCGAGAGTCCAGAGGATGTGACGGAGAGACTGGATAAGCTGATCAAGGAGCTGAGGGAGAAGTACCACAAGGGCAAGTTTGGGAAGGATGGGAAGCCGAATGATGTGCTTATTGTGGCGCATGGGCATATTTTGAGGAGCTTTGCGGCGAGGTGGGTGGGGAAGAGGTTGGAGGAGAATCCTAGTTTGATTCTGGAGGCCGGTGGTGTGGGGACGTTGAGCTATGAGCATCATAGTATTGATGAGCCGGCGATTTTGCTGGGTGGTGCGTTTGTGGTGGATGTGGTGGAGAAGGAACAAGAGGAGAAGAACGATAAGTCGTAGGTATCTTCATGAGAATCACCCAGGAATCTACATCGCCTTCGGACCTTGTTAGATATCGGTTTTCGTACTGATGTTGTCTGCAGTGCACACGTTACATCACAGCAATCATCAGTAAGTGGGTTCAGTTCTTTGCATTGGTTGTCGTAATCCTATCTGTTCTGTCTGTCTCAAACTCTGCGTATCTCATCAAGCTCCTGCAACAGCAACTTTTGGCATAGCGTTCTGATACTCTCGACTCCTCTTTTTCGCCAACATGCCGAGCTTATCGGCGTTCTTAAGCGCCCACAAGCCGAACTCACGTACCGCAAAAGCGTTCATCAGACTGTCCCGACCATACTCGGGGTCGCTCTTGAGCTTGATCTCAGGAAAATCGCGGCACAAGCCATCCAGTGCTAGCTGCGCCTTGCTGAGCGGACCCTGAGCAGCCTTCTCAACGACCTTGGCGATATCGACGGCGCGTCCATGGATCATACGGAGAGCGTCTAGATCTGAACGCAGGTTGCAGCCAACGATAATGGTCTCCTTGTCGACGAACCTGTGTAGCGCATCTCGTGCTGCCGCCCAGCCCTTGAAGATCTTGTACCCGGCTTTTCGAGCTCCCTCCATGTCGTCCCAACTGAACAATCCGGTGACCGGGGAGTACCAATCTTTGACTTTTGCGTGCGGATCAGTACAGACAAGGTGGTTCATAAGGATTCGGCAGGTGATCAGATCAACAGCTGCTATCTTGACGACCTCGGGACAGCCGTTTGCTAGCAGGATCTTGCTGCATGAGATGGCGACTGCGCCAAGGCCTGGTTTGGTTATGTTGCGTTCGGGGGAGGCTTTGAAGTCGCTTGACAAATACGTGGCCTTGTAATCTTCTTTCAATGCCTTTGGAGGAGGTATGTATTCGCCTTGCAGCATTTTTGGGAGATGGCACATCCCGTCGAGCATCTTAACCACGTCGTACTGTTTGGCGACACCGATCCGAGTCCACATAATATCGCAGGCGTTGACCTTTCCATCGTGTAGAATGAAGACATCTGATTGGATGAGCAAGCGTTGTGTCTTTGCCTGAATAGATTTGGCCTGGTCAAGCTCCGCAATGCCGCCCATGTTGATGCTGTTGGGGGCAGGAGGAGGTTGTTGGACTGGCAAGCGAGGTTGCTGCGGCATTGGACGGGCGAAGGCAGATTGCTGTTGTTGTACGGATGGTCTTGTTGAAGAAGGAGCCCCCCGAGGACGGGAAGGTGCTCCACGAGGGGCTGGACGACCTGCTTGGCCGCCACGGCCTCGAGAGGAAGGAGTTTGTTGAAGCAAACCTTCTTGCCGCATTCGTTCTCGCTCGCGATTGCTGAGCATCCACGAGTCGCGGCCGGCCAAGTTCAATGCCTGACCTCCGACACCGTGAGCGTCCTGCTTGTGCTGTTTGAGGCCGGCTTCGGACCTGAAGGAACGATCACAGCCTCGGGTATCGCATGCAAAAGCGGCCGGATTGCTGGTATGCGTGGAAGATACATTAGACGAAATCGGGGCTCGGGGTGCCAGTACAGGTGCGTTTGCAGCCCTCATCTGGTTTGTGGTGAGTGGAGAGCTACCCAATGCGGTAGCGGGGAGCACCTCGCGGACTTGTGCGGTCGTCGATACAGGAGTGCAACCTAGCATGTGGTTGTTGTAGTGGCCCAGGGAGCGGAAGATGCGCTTGCAGTCGTTGCACTTGATGCCGACATCGCTGTCGACGGAGTCAGATGATGATGATACACCATCATCGTAGTTGGGCACTACAGATGGCTCGTCGTTGGGTCTGTCGAGGTCAACGTACCCCGGGGCAACTACAGCGGGTGTCGGTGGCTGCGGCCTTTTCGTGGTGTGCTTCCAGTCGGCGCACGCACTCGCCATGTTGCTGCGATGATTACTGAACTGCTTCTGAGTGGCGAACTGCTTCTGGCAACGATCGCAGTGAACCGCCATTTCGTCGAGCGATGGGGCAAGCGCCGTTGTCAAGCTCGTAGATGCTGGCTGGGGAGGTGCGTGACTGCTCTGTATCTGATGGAGCTCGAGGGCGTGCGAATCGTCGAAATACCAGCCGCAGATGGCGCACACCAGCTTCGCAGTGCTGGTGTCGTCGTGGTTGGCAGTGTGGTGGTTGAGCTCAGCTTTGCTGGAGAAGGACTGCTGACATATCGCACAGTGATAGGCGGCGGCCTTAGCGCGTCTTCCGCGCGCCATCACTGGTGAGATGGCAACTGGCAGTCACCGTCTTCGTTCCGTGAGGTGATTTGGCAGATCAGGCTTTGTTTGTGGGGTCAAATATTGCGAGGAAGGCGCGACGGGCACGGACTGTGTGCGGGCGCGATATCACGTGCATCGCTGGAAGCTTCTGCCATTCACTGCTCATCCTTCATCTTCATAGTTAGCAGTGAGATATTTCCGAAAGCACACAAGAAAATTTCCGATTACAGGTAGGCTTGCCGAATACAAGGTCATCGCGAATGAGGATACTAACTTAATACATGAGCCTGTCGTCCTTCGCGACACTAAGTAGAGTAGAGACCGTTGACACAATAACAAAACTAGCATCAGGAACAATGAAAACGCTACTGTACCTATCCCGCGGTCCGACTTGATCTCGTGACCGCACCCGGAAAGATTGAGCTATAAAGTGAGCCTGCCCAGGTGGATGCCTTCGGGATACTTGGCGAGCTCGATGATCGAGCTAATACAAAAGCCTGTATAGCCTGGCACCGGCCTTAATGAGCATGCTACCATGTTCTTGTAAAACTACCTTGACAGAATATATCACTCTCAGCCGTACCCTCACACGCACGCAGTGAAGGCGATAGGTGAGCCGCATCAGCTGAAAGATTCTCCATGCTTGGAACGCACAGAATTTGGCAGCGTATTTCAGCCTTTGTGAGCAATGATTACCAGAATTCTGGATTTACGGACTAGTATTACGTGGCGACACGACTCACCCGGGAGGTATTCGATGTGGTCAAAATTAACGTCTGCTAACACACAACACACCGAGTACCTCCAGGGCATCCCATGTTAGGCGCCCTCTCAACGAAACACGAGCTTCCTTGTAGAGTGACTGGATAGCAATCCAGAGATCTAGAAGCAACGAGAAACGCGAGCCTATAGTCCGGCACCTTGATATGTGGTAGCATAGTTCATCTTGTGCCCAATGTAAGCCCATCTCTTTCCCAAATGCTTCCTTCCAAACTGACCATCACAGAAGTCCAACCAAACAATTCTTCCAGGTTCACATTTATAGGCCCTTTGTGCTAGAGCTCTTGACCGTGTTCTCTTGGCTCACATATGACATCTCTTGCATCTTCCATGAAATTATAGTCGACGACGGCGTGGCGAATAGTACTCGCGGATGTACTGATACGTACAACGTGGGCATATGCTTCATGCTTGTAACTCACCCCGGCTGTCTGAACTCCATTCTGACGCCCGCCTCCGTTATCGTCTTAACGATGATATCTCGGGTAGCTTTGTTCAGAGCCAAGAGATCAATGAGCGCATCACCGAGATGAGTCGCTACCACATCCATTCGTGATCTAGACAATCAAATCATGTCCAGGGTTTCACGCGCAAAGTCAGCCCCGGAATACACATTCGTTTAAAATGTTGAAACGCACTGAACAGCGACTTTGTAGGCGTCTGGCAACTCTAACGCAATCATAGAACTGGCATTGACACATACATGCTTGCACTATCTACGCACAGCCACTTCCCTCACGCACCACCGTCAGCAGACCATCTACTAAGTTCCTTGCCAACATCGCTCGCCCGAAAGAGTCTATACGAAGCTCGTGCGCGTCTTTCGTGTGGGATTCCGAGTGTCTGCGCTATACTCTGCGCCCAAAGGCGTCCACTTCATGCACTACTTCTACCCTTTGGATTCGAAAGCGTACAATCGTTTTTGGCGCGTCCGTGAACCGGCTCACAAGGGTGATGTCGCAACCTTCGACTTCGGAAGAGGGTAGAGGAGAGTACATGTAGGTGATTCGACAATATGCATAGTCATTGCGAAAATCCGTCGTATCCCTTTTATGCAGCTGGAGTAGTTGACAAGCTACGTGATAGGATGGTGTTACGTGGAGTGCTTCCGGTTCTGAGGCTATGGTGACTAGACTTCCATGACAGCAGACGTATTCTTGTATTGAGGAGCGGAGAAGGACGTATGTATGTTGTATTGGAGGTAGTATCGAGACTGGTGTTGGAGTCGTAGTATTTGGTGGCGTAGAAGACCTCACGGGGCTAGGAGTAGGGGTCCGCCACATTCGAGACATTGGGTCAGAATCGAGCTAAGCCAGTGCCTCCCCTCGGGTCGAAGAATGGCCGCTTATACCATCGCTATTCTTCTGGTTTGTTCCGCATGATTGCGCAGACCATCCTTGTTAATTGCGCAACATTGGGTACAAGCACATTGTCTGACTCCCTGGCTGAGCTACCACGTCGCTCGTGATGTTACTTCAACCAACCCACCCCATGCCTCGCATCGTCGTACCTCAGGACAAGTCTGAGAAGTTCTTCCATTCCCAGCTTAGAATGTAATATCCTCCTCTGAGGTCGAAGTCTTCGGTAGCGAAAGTGCTTGCCTCCAAAGCGTGCTATGGCGGAGCCCAGAAGCAACTGAGTCCTTTCATTCGGCGGGAAGTCTTCGACGAAGACGTCGTCAGCAGTGAGCTTCGTCTGCAAAATTGCAGAGTACCACACGACCGGAAATGGCAATGTATGGCCGAATACTCGTATACGCGCGCAGTCATCGTAAAGGTAAGTTGCGAGACGTTTCGTAGGGTTGAATTGATGATCGTTGTAGTCTGCAATCCATGAGCCGACGTACGATGAACACAGTTCCAAGGCCTGGCAGGGAAGGACGAGTTGTTGGTATAAGATGTGATAGTCCGAGTCTGTATTTAAGCTGTACTGGCCGAGTCGAACGTGTCTTCGGGAGGCCCGTATGAGTTTGCAGAGAGGCAGGTACTCCTTGCGTTCTTGTTCCGTTGTCGGAGATATTATGACAGGCCTCACTTTCCCGCTGAGTGGTAGATACAGCCGATGTTCTGAAGCAAGTGCATCGAGAAGTGCTTCCTGGCTTACTCCATACGCAAAAGCTATGTTCTCGAGGAGGAACTGGTATAGGCGTTGGGCTTTCCATATATTGTCTGGTGCAGATTCTTCTGCGGAACCGGGAGTGTAGGGTGGTGAGTCCATGATTTCCGAGTCAGTTGGGCGGGATATGAGTATGAGGGGAGAGACAAGGAGGTAAGAGCAATGTCTTGCAGAAATACTCAAACGCTCAGCATTTGTACCTGTGTTTTGACGCTGCCGAGAGTGATCCATGGTACATGCCGCTCTGACTCAGCGAAAGTGTTGCTGCTGGCATACTATTCGGCTACTATGAGATTTGTCGCGCACGCGATTGGATGTACCATTCTTCGCGACGCGGACGAGTAGCAAAGCACTTGCAGTACGTCTGTGTTGTTAGCACCACGGCTCCGAGTTGTACCTTCCATCTCGTCTCGCATGCCACGTGTTGGACATGTGTCTCAAGAATCCTGCACCAATTGCCATGCAGTCAAGTAGAGTGTTCTAGGAAGAGATGATGGCCCGATTTGCGACATGATGCGGACCTTTGCTGAGGATCGAGCGTTCTTTGCGAACGCTTGTTACTTCGTTCTTGTTCGCGGGAAAGCAACCGAGCCAGGCAGCAAATGTCGAGGGCAAACCAACAAGCCCATGTGGGTTTGGTGGACCTCGCTGACGTGGTTCGGCGTCCAAACCTTTAAAGTCTGCCGGCACAAAATCGCAGCGGGTGTCGGCCGTAACACCAAGTACAGTCGACCACATTCGCCCCGTGGGAACGGCGGAACTCGAGATTAGCGTGAGGGTTGCGATATCTCGATAGCTAAAGAAAGGAGTTGGAGAAGACGCCACCAAGACTGCGAAACTCGCGAGGCGCTGCTCGGACACGCACGGCTAGGCAATTCACGCGCTAAGTCTCAGCTGTGGGGCTCTGCGGGGTAGCTAGCGTGCTCTCCGCAAAATTGGCAGCTGCGTCCCGTCCTCGCAGGACGCGACGGCCAAAGTTTCCTGTAGAATGCGCATCTCTTGTGCAGTTTCGCGTCTTCATTACCCTCCAACGCCCACTTTTGATGATATCCAATACTTCTGTATGACGACACAATCAGGCTAAACGCATCTGAGATGCATGTGCATGCACCGTTTTCGGCCCTGCGTCCTATAGACCAGATAAGATGCAAGGCCAGCCTAGACGTGCGTTCGTCGACAAGGCATTCCCCAATATTGGCAAGCAAAAGCCTATGAAATGCCGGCCCCTGTGGGGCTTCAGATGAGAGAGGGTTGTGCGGGGGTCGCAGAGACCACATCTTGAACACTGAACCCCAGAAGGCGCACGCTACCCCTGGTCGTGGAGGTCGACGAAACTTGGGGATGCCGATCGTTCATAACGCGCGCGCTCCCACGTTGTTGACAGCCGCATCCTGGAATTGTTCCTCGGAATCCTTCCATTGCTTTTCGCTTCATCCTTCTTTTACTTTTTCGGAAATTTTCAATAGCATAGTGCGGGTACAACCGTCGCGATGGGTTTCCTCGGTATCGTCGAGGACAAGCACCTTGCCCATGTGCCGGCGACTGTCGTCCTCAGCGAGGAACAGAACACTCTCCCTGTTGCCGAAGGAACAGTAGCAGCTGCGACGTTGAAGCGTGGCACTGGTAGAGATGCAGACGTCATCTTGATACCTCAACCGTATGTGTGCCTGCCGAAGAATCGTTCGGCGCATTCCAGTCGTAGCATAGTTGACACCACGTAGCTCCGAAGACCCCAATGATCCCTTGAACTGGTCGTACACCAAGAAGATGACCATCATGGTCATCGTCGCATATGGCTCAGTGCTATACGCCGCTGTTCTGGCTCCTCTTCTGTCGCCCGCACTCGTAGTCATCGCGGCAGACTTCGGAAAAAGTGTCGGCGACATCACAGTCATCTCGGGGTACATGCTACTAGTGACAGGAGGTGTTGGGCCCATCGTCAGTGCTTTGTCCAGGAAGTATGGAAAGCGCCCTCAGCTTCTGGTAGCGTCGCTCTTTGGCCTACTTGGGACTGTGATAGGCAGTGCTGCATACAGCTATGAGGGCCTCTTAGCTGGGCGCATCATTCAAGGAGGTTCTATGTGCGTAGAAAAGCTTTCATG